CAGGTTGGACACAGGGGCTTGGAGCAACCTGCTCTAGTGGAAGGTGTCCCTGCCTGCGGCAAGGGGTTGGTGCTAGGTGATCTTAAGATCCTTTCCAGCCCAAACCATTCTGTGATTATGGGGGGAAAACCCCGCTTCCATAGGTTATATCAGACATTTGGACATTGGCAGCACCATAAATGAGCTTCTTGGATCCATTTTGTCCCTCAGGTCAAGTTCAACAAGGCCTTGGCTGATCACTCCATGGCTCAGACGCCACGGCTCATTGATGGGATTGTCCTCACCAAGTTTGATACCATCGATGACAAGGTAAAGGAAGCTGTTGAGACAACTCCACATGGAGCTTCCTGCTGGGAGAGGCAGGAAATGTCCAGCGTGCTTTGGTGCTGTCCCAATTGCCATCTCTTGCCTTCCTCTTGCATTGCAACCAAATTCAGTGATGTGCAGAGTGGAGAACAAGGAGGCAGGGGAGCTGATGGTGCTTGTTGTCCTTGGCAGGTCGGCGCTGCCATCTCCATGACATACATCACGAGCAAGCCCATCGTTTTCGTTGGTACTGGACAGACCTACTGTGATCTGCGAAGCCTTAACGCCAAGGCCGTGGTCGCAGCGCTCATGAAGGCCTGAACCCCACCAGTGGCTGTTGGAGGTGTCCAAGAAGAACATGCTTTACCCTGTTCCCAACTCATCCTTCCCACAATGAAGGGATGCCAGCGTGAGGGGAATGGTTTTTGGGGGCTGGGGGATAAAATTCCTGTTATCCAGCAAAAGCCCTTCCCCTGGGTTCCTTCATTCTGGTTGAGGTGGCACAGGCTCCCTTGCAGGGAAGCTGAAGCCAGAGCTTTGTATTGTTCATGCTGCAAGGACCTGCTGTGCTTTTTTGGGGGGGGTTGAAGGCTTTTTAGTTCCTTTTGAGCTGCTTTTTGATTTATTCTAGACCAGTTGAGGGAGGATGAATGAGGAGTGATGGTATTTGCTGGTGCATAGGAAGAAAAACCCAGTTCATACTGGCAGATACTGGTGGTGGCTTTGCTGTTCTCCCCCTTCGAGTGCCTCTTGAGCCCGGTCTGAAGTGCTACACTGAGTAATACAAACCTCTGTTACAATGTCTTGTAGCTCCATATCGCAGATGTGCTCCAGTGCAATAAGTTGAATGCTGTCTGCTCAGAGACATAATTTATATGAAATAAACCTCATAATTTGTCCTCTGTGTATAAATAACTCGCCTCCAGGCAGGACGTGCTCACTCCTTGGGGGTAGGGAGGAGACAAACCCTGGGTGAGGGGTGGGAGAGGGCGAGTAAATCACCCACCAGCCATAAGGTCAGTGCACAGGCTTTTAATAGAAGCTTCCACATACGAAACACAAGAGTATAAAGACAAAACTAGAGAAGTGGAGCTTAAAGTAGGCAAAACCCCATCAAGTTTCCCTGGGAGCTGTGGGCTCAGGTCCTGGGATGAGGCTGTTCCTCAGATGCTGCATTCTGCAAGGATGAAAGGGAATAAACAACAGGGAAAACACTACTGGCATGTGTGGGAAGCAGCAGAGCTGTTCATGCCGTGATTTCATGAAGGTGAATCCCAAATCCACCTACACTCACAGCCCAAGCTCCAAGTGTTTAGCAGGCTAGAGCATCAATCCCTCCCATTCCGTAAGATCTAGGTCTTTCCCAGCACCCTGTGTGAAGCTCGGGACACTGACAGCTCCCCCGATCCCTGCAGTCACCACAGAGGGAAGTGTCCTCTCTCATCACATCTGCAGAGACCTTCAAGGTGTCTGCCAGCAGCCTTTGCTGAGATCAATGTGAGTGTATTGAGGCAATGCAGGGAGGCCAGGTAGAAGTGTGCCTCTAAGCTACACACTCCCATAATCCACCTTTAGCAGTTGCCAAGGACCAGGTTCCTCAAGGAAAGGAGCTGGTGGCTATTTCACTTTGCAGAAGATGAAGTCCTGTTTCTGTCTCTTCAATCCTCTGGGCAATGCAGCTCTTTATTTCCATCCCTCTATTGTGGCCCAAAAGCAGAGGGCTCAGAAGAGGGCTGAGCTCCCCACGCTGGTTTGGTGGTTGCCATCTGTATGGAAATTCAAAAGCAGAGTGCAAATTCAGGGGACAGCTCTGCCACCATAAAGCAGCCTGGTGCAATGGCCGAAGAACTGGCTCAACAGCAGACATTTGTGTGTGGCTTTTCCCAAGGATGAGAGACAACTTCTCTCCCGTTTTGTAATCTTACATCCTATCCACCACAGGGAAACAGAACGTGCAGTGCAGACCAGGCTGTGTTACCTGCATTAACAAAGTCTGACGGTTGCTGCAGGTTCACCAAAGCTTGCTTGATCTCACACAGAGTCTTGGCAAGGGGAGAAGCTGCTATCAGGCTCTCCACCTCCAACTCGGTCAGATAAGCCAACTGGATACCTAAACCTGAGGAAAACAGGAGCACTTTCAAGCCTAAAGGAGGAAGAGGCTCTTCATGGCTGGGAGACTACAACACACGTGAGGAATGAAACCCAAGGGGGGAAGTGATGCTCAGTACAACAGCTCAGCACCTGCTGGCCGATGCCCAGTCGAGCCCCAAGCAGTGATGAGCCCCTCCCAGCCAACTCCCCCCAGTTTCTATCCTGAGCCTGATGCTCCATGGTATGAAATATCCCTTGGGCTAGATCAGGTCCTGGCTCTGCTACCTCCCAGCTTCTTGTGCCCCTCCTCAGTGGCAGGGCATAGAACACTGAGAAGGTCTTGACTTTGAGTAAGTGCCTAATGAGCAACTGAGCAACAACGGAACCATCGGTGTGATAACAGTGTTATTCTCTCACTGAGTTCAAAGCACAGCACTAGGAAGAGCATTAACTCTGTCCCAGCCAAACCCTGGACACTAAGTCATTGCCCTTACCGTGTTCTTCATGTCCAGGGAAGCTGACAAAAGCATCTTTCCCACTGAAGAGCTCCCACTGCTGAGGCACCTCATCATCCTGTGCGGTAAAAAGGGCCCAAGAGTTAAAGAAATGGGCAAGTGGGAAAACTAGCAGAAAGGTGAGAGATGGCCCAACAAGACACCTGCAACTCACCTGCCCTTCCATTCCTTCTGATTTACCTTCAGCGGCCAGGCTGTCCAGTGAGGGCACAACTGCCACCACATCCTGCCCTTGGACCTTCTGCTCCATGTCCCGCTTCAGGGCCGCATTCTTGTACAGAGCGTTCCCAAGCAGCATCTCCAGAGCTTTCATTAACTGTGTTGCCTCTTGCCATGGAACACCTAATGAAGCCAACAAGCACTTTCAATGGGCTCCTACAGAACCACATGAAGAACTGTAATGATCTCCAGAGCAAAACCAAGAGCAGGAACCTTCGGAAATGCCACACGGTGACTCCAAGCTGCCTCATGCTGTAGCACGTCCAAAGAACTCTGTCCTTACCTGTTCCTAAGCTGCGCCTGTCTTCTCAATGAACTCACGTGAAGACAGGCTGCCAGCTCTTACAGAACTCCTACAGAACTACAACAACACTGCAAGACATAGTCTTGTGGGGTGTCTTCTCATGTGTATGAGCCATGCACTGTACACATCATGTACTGTGCCATCCACTGATGCTCCCTGACACTCTGCTGCTCTCTTTCTACACTGTGGTTTTCTCACCTCCTTGGAAGTCGTGTCCACAGTGTCCATCACGTTGTTCAGCACACGCTGCTGCCCTACTGCTGTCTGCAGGTTTATGCTCATGTGCCCTTTGCCTGGCAAAGATTTTCAGGTCTTCAGAGTCCAGTGCTTGCAGCATGTCCTGCTTACAGAGAACAGCAGTGTTAAACTCTGCAAGTCCCACAATCCACCCACTCTGCTTCTTGTATAAAACCAGAAATTAGCATGACTGTGTTATGCCAAGAGAAGGTACTGAAAGGAGTAAACTGCCACTCCAGGGGAACCATTTATTTTGGGAGTTCCAAGACTCCCTTCCCTCGGTTGTTTCCACACTGACCATGAGACCCTGAATCTGCTGTCTGACTCCATTGTAGAACACCAGCACGTCCATCCTGTGCTTGGCCAGCTGAGATGCCAGATGCAAGTTCTGATCTTCCAGCTTATCGTAGAGGGTGCGAACACTGAAATCCTCCAGAACCCTCCGTGTCAGATGCTCTTCTGAAACACAAGGTGAGTGTTTGGTGAGTGGCCACAAGTCTTTATTTCCCACAAGGGGCACTGCCTGTCCATAGGAGGCAACAGCGTGGTGTCATGTGAAGAAGGAAAGTGGAAGAGGCAAGAGATGTAAAAGAAGGTGTCGTTCCTTAGTGAGGAGGAGATGGCAGAGTGTTACTATCACCTCCTGACTCAGGGTTTCTGCTCCTCTGTTCTCAGCATCACCATCTGCTGGGCTCTGGACTTTGCTGTACCCTGTGAACATCCTGACATTCCCAAGGTTTATGCCCAGAAGGCAAACAAGGCTCATGAGTCCTGTGCCTTCAAACAACAGAACAACCAAGAGGACAACCCAAGAAACTGTTTTTAAACATCTTTCTTTTCTTCACTGGTCATACTTCAGGGCTGGCCACTTGTGCTCCGAACTCCTAAGGAATAAAACACTAACCCATTCCCTGACAGGAGGTTACAGTCCCCATCTGGGGGGATCAAATGAACCTGGAATGGGAGTGTTTGTGGTGCCTGTAAATGTGCACACGTGAGTACATGGCAGCCAAAGTGCCTGTGTCACCTTGGTGAGTAGTTATGAAAGTATCATACTAGAGAGTTAACAGAAGACAACATGATGGGGAGGAAGCTGGCCCAGCACTTTACCTGCATTATGCACAGCTCCCTTCTCTTCAAAGCCAGCATCTTCTCCAGAAGCACGAGGACCGACTGTCTGATAGAACTGAAGGCTAAAGGGAATGACAGAAGAGGGTGAAGAGTATCTTGTCCTCAGTAAAATCAGATCCTGCACTATCAATCACGAGCCCAGTTCAAGCAGGAGGATACCTTTCTTGGCTAGATTTTGAAGTCAAAACCAAGACAGACATGACAGATCTGTTACACACCACACTGGAAAAGAGCTGGAATGCTGCTGGTAATACCAACAAGCTCCCTGTGCAGTTAGAAACTCAGCATTTTGTAAAGCTGGCAAGAAGTCCAGCATCAGGGACTGAGAGTAATGCAACAGGACATGCTTTTGTACTATCAGGGTCTCCTGATAGCTCCCATGCAAAGGGGTTTTACCTGTCTTTGAGGAGGATGTACTCTGGTGGGATGTGTGGCTCGCCCAGGCTCCTCCATCGTGGCTTCCAGCTCTTCAGGGGGCTGATGATAGGCACAGCAGGCTGGAGCACAACAGCCAGGGTTGCCAGCACCACAATTAGGAAGCCCAGAACAAAGAGGACCACTGGGGAAGCCAAAAGGGATGGCAAGGAGGATGCAAGCCGTACTTTCCTTTCTATTGCTTTACTGTCCTCTCACTGATGGACAAGGGACTGGTATGTGCACAGCACTTACACAGAGGCACAGCTTTGAGGGAAGACCTCAACTGTCCTTGTGTTTAGCCTCGAGTGAACTTCTAAATGGTGCCTTTAACTTCAGCTGAGTTTAGCAACTGGCACTGGCACTTTCTGCTTTCAAGCCAAGGGACACAAAGCCCTCACTTGAACTCT